ATTCGGCACCAGAGGAATACAAGAAACTTGCCGAGCGGTGTTGTGATGCTGATCCTGATAAGCGTCCAGATGCATATACACTTTCGAGTTATATTGAAAGGCTTTTTGTAGAGGAGTACAAGGACAATATGTGGAATGCCATTTATCATAAAGATGTAAACAGAGAGTAAATGTTCTAGTCCTTGAATAAAACGCGTATCAACCCAGTTTATTCAAAGAGTGTTTGAGTCACTAAATACATAATGGACGATGTTATATTGTATATTGACTTCATTAATAACCAATGCTGTCTTCATACCTGCAAATCATAGCTATTTCTTGGTTTAGGCAGATCTCCAGAGGTAAGAGTGTGCTCTTCCAATTAAATGAATTAAATACTATATTAATATATCCTTCCATTTTGCTGGGGTATCATTTGAATAAAATATAGAGTACATTATTTAAATTTTATGAAATTGGTAATGAGTTTGATGCTAATCGTTCCTGAATAAAATACGTAGCAACATTCGAACTTGGTTCGAAGCCTCATTGTCAATTTCAGCACCAGCCGTGCTTCCTGATATTGTTTTCATACCCAACCCATGCAGTCGGCTAATACGGTAATGGATAATGTTATTCAAGTTTTTCGTTGTATAAGTTGCTTCTATCAATGCGTTTTGAAAATGCATATCGACGCGATGACGCACCTTATAATATGGTATACCCGACAATCACGTGATAAAAAAATAAAGCATTTAATATTAAAGTCTTTCAACTTCTTACTATTACACAGATAAGATGACCGGTAACTTTATAATAATAATAACAAGCTCTACAAAGTTACCGGTCAGATTTTTGATTAGGGATTTTAAACAAATCACGTGATTGTCGACTTGCACCATATCAACATCGTTTAAATTCTCTGATCAACGTGGTAAAGTTCGCTGTAGAAAAAAGTCGTATACCACAATTCTTTGAGGCTGCTGGGAAGGGAGAAAGAGGAAATAATGCTAGTAACGTTATGAAGACGAGTCTAAGGATTGATGGAACATTGGAGGTTAGTAATGCGACAGGAATAACTGTTTGAATTGTGCTGGTAAACGTGATACTTCGAGTATCAATTCGTCTTGAACCACTTCTATGATCTCAAATATATCATCGTTAATATTAACAAGATTCGTTAACTCGGGAATTTCAGGTTCCAAACCGTGATAGTTCGATGGCTTCACGATATATTGTTACGGCAAGCCGATCTGATGAATCAGATAAGTGAGTCACATGGTAAAATCTTCCTCCACACCGTGTCGAATTTTGAGTGTCAGCACAAACGCAATTAGCTAACTTAGAAAACGTTTCGATTTTTGCGTGTCAGTA